GTTCAATGTTCTCTATGTTCGTCTGCCTTATTATTTGACTGCATGACCACATGACATCTAGGCATAACGACTCATTCAAACGAATCTATTGATTTATTCACCTTATGGGATAACCAACCTCAAAATCTCAATAAAGTTTTAAAGGACTTAGCGAATAAATACTGAATGGCTTACTATCTTTTTCAAGAGGATGCATAAATATGCTAGCATACTCAAACTACTAGCTGGTTGGAGGCAGTTCGAAGGAAGCACTGGCCGCAGATTCCGGGCTTATTGGAACTCATCAGCAAGGCGTACCTACAAGCAATGATTGCTCTGCGATTCGAACTCATGTAACCCACTGTAAGAGTTAGCGACTTTACCACTGAGCTATTCCGGCTGCGGCTGACCTCCTAAAGGACTGAACTAAATATATTGATTGGTCAGTAGAGAGCTGCAAAGTGCCAATAAACCCAAAACCTACGTCCAGGGCTTCTTGCTGATTCCTTCCAACCAACTAACGGTCATTCAATGGCACCAAGATGCTGTGCCTCTTAGCTTCGTGGCTTCAGAATTTGATTCTCTCTCAGGACCTCTTATACTGAACAAGCTAGCCACGATAAATACTAAGTCGTAGATAATCAGCTGGCTGTATTCCTATCTCTCTGAAAAGAAACAATATAGTGTTCACAGAAAGCACCACTCTACCTCATTGCTTGCTCAGACTGATCTTCTTCATGGTGGTGTTCTTTCTTTCTGCCTTTTCTCTCTAAATATGCATGGCTTACCATCTTCAGCTAGCATCAATTTTATCAAATATGCTGATGACCTGACAGTTTCCATATCTGACCTGTCTTCCTTTTAACAGATTATTCCCAAATGAGTGATTTCCTATCTACCGTTGGACGATGATCCTCCTCCGAATAGTCCTTTGCCTAATGCTTCACAATGTCTGACTATAAACTTTAGTTTCACATGCGAACATAACCTATGTAGACTGAAAACGTCTCATCATTACTGTTTAACTGATGGCTGTGAGTTGAAGAATGTTACAAGTGTGGTTTATCTCGGCGTGTGCATTTTTTCGAACCTCTCCTTGTCCTCCCATATCCAAATGAATTTTCCCCCTACCTTCCTATATTACGAAGCTGGATTTATCTGGTATAACTCAGCCTCTCATTTTGTGTGTTGTGATCTTCTACATATTGCATATTCTCCTCTATTCTCCTCCTTTATTCTTCCCCATGTTGCTGAAAAAGACTATGCTACATTGGGTGGAACTTTGAAGACTGTCAGCAGAACCAGTGGTATACCTCTCATCCTTGTAATTCAAACTGCTGTACACAAACATCTTAACTCATGTAAACATCTGACAGGAGTTATTTTATCAGATGTCCAACATGCTGTTCATTTATAGCTCTCTGTGTGTTTTCAGTCATCTGGAAAGACAAGGAGCAATTATGTAGGACATTATGCACGTACTATTAAATATGAAAACTCTACTATACTTTCCTTATTTAGCTAGTTTGCTGTGCGATTAAGAAAGTATTAGAAATAAACTAACTGGTCGTGTTTTGTTTTTGAAAGCAAAGTAATTAATGAGTACACAGCTTGGTGTTATTTATTTACTTATTCCTTATGAATGTAATTGCTAATGTCTACCTAAGTCTACCTAAGTTAACTCCGAATTTTCAAGAATGTTGTAGATGTGGTGAATACTCTTAACTTTTATGTATGCGGTTTCTACTTATCTCATTCTGCTACGTATACATATGGACTGTCTGTGTCCAACTGATGCTATATGACAGGCTGACAATTGGGCAGGGTATTCCCTAAATAGCTTTCAAAACAAAGCCAATTATATTGTTATTATTTGCAAAATGGGAACTATGCTGTAAAACCTACCCAGCATTCCTGCTATTATCGTTAGTATTTACTCAACTTAGACACATTTGCTGCTGCATTGAACTTCTCTTTACTCGTTAAATCAGGAACGCCAATTCTAGAAAAACCCAGTAAATAAATTTCTTTTAATAAGTCTGAAATACCGATTTCTTGTCCTCAGTCAACTGACAAGCAAACTCCAAAAGAAGAGAGCACAATTATTAAGTAAGTTGGTTAAAGGAGATCTGAAGGAAGCCTTGGACCTGGTTTTTATGCACCCTGGCATTCATCATCAAGGTGCATCTGTAACACCATAACTGGCAGGTCTATTTAAAGAAATAAATTAACTAAATGAATAAGATCGGTCCACACGAAAATCAATCAGACAGTCAAAGACAGCCAATGAGAATTAAGATTACCCAACTGTCAGTGGGTAGACAGGCATAAGTGAATCAGATTTATAATACATACATAGACAGTGGGTGTCAATCGAACACAAAGAGTCGGTGAGAAGCAAAGATTGATATAATGGTAGATAGATATCATAGATCACAGATAACAGAGGAAAACACGTGTACTAGCCATATATACTTGTAACAAAGACAATATCAACAAACTTCTTGGATTAACTTGAAATTCATGTATTCACTGTCGACGCTGGTCTCAATGTTTCCCTACAGATCTGCTTTTTGGTGTCCTTCTATATTGGACTCTAATTTGTAATGAGAATATATACAAAAGGAAATATGAGACGTCTTACAAATGAATTAGCTGTATATCATTTCATCATGAATTATACAATACACTAACAAGAACTGAGTGATTATAACGAGTGGTACTGCTTCTCAGTTTTCAGTGAGGCTGTTCACGAAATGATTCATCAAGCTTTCGCATTACTGATAAAATCTTGATAAGCACAGGTAGTAGATAGACGGCAGTGACAAGGATGCAGAAATTGCTACCCTCTAAATTATGAATCATTGTCCATTAGCATATCCCTAGATAGGTGAACAAGTTATTACAGAAATTGGCACAAAAGTGTATCTATCAACTCAAACTATTTCCATTTCATGACAGCTAACAGAGAAGTGAACAGAAAAAGTGGAAGAGAGGAGATAGATAAAACAAATGGAGCTTCATTAAAAAAAAATATTTACTACCAAGAAAATGATTAAAATAGATACATCCATGCGATCGCTACCTAATCTGAGCCAGGTCATAAAGACCACTCAATTATTGAATTCATATCGTTTCGACGGCTCAAGCCAGGTAGTTTACGATCTCCTACATAACTCAGATTAACAATTAGAGACTTCATGGACTGGTACCACATTTTGGTATGAGTATTCTTCCCATCCTTTTCTACTTCTACTTAAGCTAGAAGTTGGTAAAGATGGATTCTGAAGCATCATGTTATATTTGACAGGTGAAAAACACATACCAAAATAACTTAGGTTAGTGCTCCTGGCGTCCAGAAAAAGCTGCATTTCGTCAGCGTTCTCTCCTCATGAGGGTTGAGAAGTTACTTGCTGGGAAGAAACACCTATCAAGTGCTCCTAGGCTTCCAGCGTCTCTCCAAATGATGTCAGTCTATGTTGAAACTGAAATCACTAAATCCCAACAAACCCCCAAATTGAATTAATCCAGTCCTCATTGGTGACTAGCTTCGAGAGCTGATTCCCGATGTCTAAATGAGAAGTCGTGACCACTGGAGCCAACCAATTCAAAAATGAAGATAGTTATTCAGTAACAGCAGTGGACGGAGTTTATGCTATATCGTAGGAAATATAGACCACTGGATTCTGACCCAATGGCTGGATGTTAACGTGCTGGTCACGGGACCTGAAGGTCCTGGGCACGATCCTCGATGGGCGGGGTTGTGGTTGTGCACTGCTGAGGAGCCCCATACTGCGGCGAAACAGGTTTCTAGTGCTCCTAGGTTTCCGATGTTTCTCCACCTGATGGTGAATGCTACTTTAAAATAATATCCTTACAGACCTCAAACTACACAACTCTAAGGTAATTTTTCTTGACTTTCTTGCCACACTTTATGATTTTACAAAATAAGATGACCAATTCAGGATCAAAATAGGCCCTTTATGTTTTGCTTTATTTAAGCTGGTCGTAGTGATTTGTGAGCGTTGAGATGGACATGTGTCACCTGCATAAGTTTATATCCGATTAAATCATAAGCAGAACCTACATATGCAACGATATTCTGATTGGCTGCTGCTGTTGAAGGTTACTTTTACCAATACTGTCATCCTATTGGCTAGTTTTCAAGTGCAAAGGAGTGTATGAAATTGAACAGTTAGATTGGCTGGAATGTACATATTACAATTTCAGTCCTCTTTCTTCCTGCCTTATTTTGACGGATCAGTTCTGTTGAAATGAATTACTTGATCAGCTAGAAATCACTCAGGTTGATCTGTACATAATATCAGCAGAGATCAGAGTGATCCAGACACCTTACAATCATTCTACTCGTTTAAAGTCAACTTCATCAGCAAGTCACCTGGTTAGATTCACGTGATTTGAACGATTTTGACCCTATGAGCTGCATTTGTATGGTTACCATGGGATAAGTGCACAACAACAAAAACAGCTTTCCGGGGTTCAGATCACTCTGATCAGACAAGCTGGCGAAATTTTCAGATAAACCTGAATAGTTTTCAACCACTCAAGTTGTTCAGTTCATAACAATTTTCTGTCAGATACTACATCTTGTTATCTTGCCTAACAGGTGATTTGCAACGCAAACCCTGTCGACGCCACAGTTAGGCAACTGAGAAATCTGTCAGCTATGCGAAATGTCACCATGAAGTGGGCAATGTCTTGATCATTTGCAAACTGATCATCCTAACTAGTAATGCACGTTAGCGAAGCGGTTTTTCAAATATCCAGATTCTTGAAAAAAAAGCACAATATCTACTTATTCAACGCATTATATAATCCTATCAATGAATGCATACATATCAAAGAAAACAAACAGAAATGAGTTTTTCACAGTATAAATTTTTTTATCAATGATATTTACTACAAATTTGCAAAAAAATGTCAACGGCACTGATCCCATCTTTAAGGTATATATATATATATATATATATATATATATATATATATATATATATATATATCTTCTCATTGTCCCAGTCCTCTGTTACTGCCTTCTCGGATTGATCTCTTCCACCAGACTTGAAATTTTTGTCATTCACATAGAATAAATATACAAGGTAGGCCGGATAATAAATCCTTTTTTTGGTAACCAGAACAAAAGTATTTCGTATATAAAGTAAAAAAACGAAAGTAACTAGAATTTATGATAATTTCTGCTGGAAGTGATTGACTACTACTTCAAGTGTTCACCGAGTAGTATATGAATACATATTTATAAAAATGATAAGGAAGTAGAGAAAAAACTAGTGGAGACTGTGAAAAAAGGTATATATCTCTTAGTGTGTTTTTAATCTTGTATAGAGACGTGATTATCCTTGCATCATCGTTATCCATTGAAATGTCATCAATATTACTAACAAAGTGATATAAGTAGTACAAATAAACAACAGTTCGTTTTTTTTGTCATTTTATATATTTTTTTTTTAAAAAAAGGCATGAATTCATGTTAAGAAAAGTCGAAATGATGCAAATTCAGTGTGTTAGTGTCTGTAGGTGTATGCTTTTTTGCGCACCAACTTTTTTTCTCTCTCAGTCTGTTCTTATCACACATGAATTATGTAAGCCTCTCTTTGAAAAAAAGGCGGAAAATAAAAGTCGAAATATCTAACTGAGGTTTAAATGTGATGAGTTGAAAAGGTGAGGTAACAGTTGATTTGGCAATAATGAAACCCACTAACCCCCCGCTCCCCTGCATCCTCCAACTATTTAGACACTAGTGTAACAGCAGTAATAGTAGTTATAGATTAGGAGCGGAGCGATGGTGTTGTAAACAAAACGTTAGTAAAATAAAAACACACAGTTAGATTGAACACATTAAAATAAGCTAGAGAACGGTAACAAACAATACGTTTAGCAGAAAAAAATGTCCATACAACTTGCTGCTATTGAAATTACCTACTTGTAATAAATGTAGATATATATAGTATTCACAAGATTAACAGAAGGATGGTGGTGAAAAACGGAGATTTTACAGGTTTCTTCCTTTAGACATAATTTATACTTTTAGTTTCCTCTTAAGAGTGATCATATGCATCAAGATAGTGCAAACGTCTATTGTTCAATAATAACCAGATGTAGGTAAACTCTAAAAGAATAAGGAAAAACTGAATTTAGATGGTGTAATTAGAAGACAAAATTTATCTGAACAAATGGATGGATGAACCTATTAAATCACTGATTAAAAAACACTTATGGAAAACAAATATCTGCTGAAGTTTATATTGGATTACAGAAATCAGGTTATATCAAAGCCAATTCTGTATATGAGCCCTAAGAAGAGTGCTCATATCACTCTACCATACAGGAGGTGGTGGTGGCCGGTGGACGGGGGCAGAGTTGAATAGTATAGTTTTGAGGTGTAGGCCATTAGGAAAACATATTATGGCAAAAAAACACTAGCGTCACCACAAATCTAAACACTAAATCAGTGATTACGTCACGATCTATTGTGTTAACCAGTTTACATGTGTGTAGTCACGCATCCATAGGGAGAAGTGTAGTCGAGACATCCAGTTGACGGTGGCATAACGTGTAACCCGAGTCGAATGTGAAATTTTGATAAATGCAGAGACTACCCCTTGATATATAGCTAGATATGTTATACAAAACAAGTCATAAAACTACTGTTCAAACAAGTTACAAAGTTTTATGTAGAAATAGTCAGCATGCATACAGAGATTTGCGGAAGCGATAGCCATACACCTACCTTGGTTAACTTTGTTTTCTTACCAAGATTCTGACCAACTGTGTCACTTTCCGATTTTGTTCTCATCTTCCTTAATTTTACTCCCTCATCATCTTGATTGTTCTCGATTTATCCTCTCATTCTTCGGTTTACGTTGATTGACTCTATTTTTAAGGTTCCATTCATCACAGAGAGACATCATTTGGTGGACCATTGGGAACCTGGGAGTTCTGCACAGCTGTTTCGTCTAGGTATGGAACATGCTTCAAGACAGATATCCCGAATTTCTAGTGAGAAGACGTGACATGGGTAGTCAACCAGTCAAAGTGAAGTAGATGCCAAATTAAAACCTTCATGCATATCCACACTATATCACGAGTTACCTGTAGAACATTGATCTCTGACCCAGTGGCTGCACGGGTAGGGAATTCGCCGTGAAATTTGAAGGTCCTGAGTTCGATCCCTGGTGGGGTTGTACGCTCATGCTTCTGAGGAGTCCTATAGTAGGATGAACCAGTTGTCCAGATCTCTCAGCTTTCACATGGATTCTTAAGTGACGTCAACTCATGATGAATACAACTTTAAAAATAAAATCTCCACAAATCTCAAAATACATAAATTGACCTGATGAGTAAATGCATCTCACATTGTTCAAACAAACTTCATCTTCTGATCACAGCACTGTCTTAATTCATAGAAGAGACTAATTAGTTATCATCCACCTAGATTGATAGACTAAATGCATATCAGTCAGACCAAACAGTCATAAAAAGGATTGAACACTTAATCTATCTGTTCAATATTGAAGGTTACTGACACATGTCAAGATAATCGTGTGTAGTGGTTGCATTTCAGTGTTGACTGGAGAACTACTTTCGTTATTATCATTTTACACTGACAGAAATATATGCTTTTAATTAATTTGTGCAGTTAACTCCTTCAAACAGGAACTGTATCAGTGTTATTGCTTATATTACACCGTCGTTGATTGGACCGAATTGATCAGTCTCTGTTGGCGTATGGGCTCCTATGCGGATGCCTCGATATTGCCTGTCTTTTAACTATGTTTAGTAATGACGAGTCCCAAAGAGGACGAAATGCGCATCCTGGATTCCACTGCTAGCCACTGCCCATCATTACTAAATACAGTTAAAAGACAGGCAATATCGAGGCATCCGCATAGGAGCCCATATGTCAACAGAGACTGATCGATTCATTCCAATCAACGACGGTTTAATACAAGCAATAACACTAAACCTATACCCGTCGCACAAGAAGTGGCTATCGTGGCTCGGTGGTGTAGTGGATAACTCTCTGACGTTTGAGGCGGTCGCTCCCGAGTTTGAGTCCCTGCTGGGACAATATCACTCACTGTGAGGCAGGTACATCCAGCTGACGAGTCCCAAACAGGATGAAATGCGCGTCCTGGATTCCACTGCTAGCCACTGCCCATCATTACTAAACATAGGAACTGTATCAGTTATAATCAGGTTAAATGTGGAGAAAAAGGTAAGGATAGCAAGTTAGTTAGTGAGGCTGTGAACATACACTGACTCATCTGGCTCCGACATATTATGCACATGCTGAACAGTGTTAGTCGACAAAAGATTAAGTTGACCAAGACATGCTACTAGTTTATGAAGTCGCTGACAATTGCTCTGAGTCATTTAGGTAGATGTAGGCTGTCTCGTTGAGATATTCAAGCAGATAGGAATAAGTTATTGGAAACTTTTACTTGACACTGCTCAAAATTGGCCATTATGGAGCAGACGTATACACTGTTTTCTATCCTCAAAGATTTAATCATTTCCACTGACCATGATTTATTTATGCTGTCTCCCCTGATACAATCTTGTCTATATTCATCCCATCCATTCTTTGTCCACCTTTCATATTGCGGTAAAATACAAGTAACTTGAACAGGCACAATTCTACTCCCGTTTCTGCGTTAATATGTTAGTCTGTCATTTTTGCAATCTGAAAAGATCGATCTGAGTAGTTTTAGTGTATGGTAACTGTGGTGTTAACAAGGCTTCCGTTGGCTGATTGGTTTCCAACGGAGATTTTGTTGACACCATAGGTGTTCTACTAATGCAGGAACTAGTAGCTTAGTTGGTTGAGCACCAAGTCCCATGGTCACTCGATTGAATCCAGCCACGGTCAAACGGCGATTATCTCAGATAATCAAAATGATAATCAATATGATGCTCTCTCTCTCTTTCTCTCTGATTCAGTTAGATTTGGATTGAGGTGAGAATTCAAGACTGGGTAGCCGGTGTGAGTACGATCAAGTGATAGTAAGGCATCACGAATTCGTATGGTAGTCAGGCAAAACTCTTGGTGATTGAAATTAAGTTAAAAACTGGTCAGCAATCTGGTCTTGTAGCCCAGTTGATAGATCACTGGGCTGGAAACCCGATAATAGCTTGTTAGAATCCGGCTGAGATCAAAATTTTCATTTGACCTTCAATCATCGCCCAGTTTTAACATTCGTATAACTCAAGTCTTCGAAGACTGCTTACATTTGTGAGATTGTTTGTTTAAGTAGTGTGTTTACACAAGTAAGACAATACTGACGGCTGAAAGTCAATTAGTTAAAGGATTCAAAAGTTTCTTCAATTCAAACCTCATGAACAAGTAATTGAATAGTCAGTATTAAAGTGGATGAAAATCTAGAGTCGTCAGTTGCAGGACAGTCATACTTTCATAAATTTCAGGTTGGTATTCATCATAGACTGAAATTGGTTGGAGAACCATTGAAAATCTGGAAGCACTGGAAGCCTATTTTGTCTCACCGTTAGCCTCCTCAGCAGTGCTAACACATGATCATACCAGGGAATGAAACCAGAATATTCAAGTTCAACAGCCAGCGTATTATCATTGAGTCTTTGAGTGGTCATCCAATGGGTTATATTTCCAAATTTTATGAGTTGATAATACAGCTATCATGACTCAGTAGCCCAATGGATAACATTCTGACCTTTGAAGCAGTCAGTTCTGGTTTCAAGTGATGGGTTGGACGTAAGTTTAGACGGTGAGTTCAAAATAACATGAAACACATCGGCTTGATTCTACGACTTGACATCATCAATGAAATTATATCACAGTTAACCTTCAAGTGATGTCAAGGCCACAGACCAATCAATTTCATCCAACTTAGCAATCAATAGGAAATTAGAACTATCAATCAGTAAGTTTCGACGAATTGTTCAAAATCCCTATCAATAACTCTTCTCTCGTATTTTATGACATTTATCATTGTGATTGTGAGTTCCTGTTGTTTGTCATGACCTTGAGAAGATTAGCTATTTGTGCCAGCATATTATTCAGAGTTAAAAGGAAACAAAAATAATTCTTCAGCTCATTTGAACGAAATTTCACTTGATCATTGATAAGAAGCGATCAATATATAAAACATCAAAGTAATTCATGTTTATAGCCACCATACAGTGAATGGATGAGATTTTCACTTGTACTGTATGAGTAAAACTTTACTAAATTCATATTCCTGCGCATAATCACTTTGGAAAATGGATAAAATAGAAGTTCCGATGAATGTAGCACAATGTTTAGTCAACTAATATTTATCAAAGTGCATTGTAATGGTTAGTTTGCGAACTTGGTGGTAACACTGCGCATATTTAGTCGATAAAATTTAATCAGCACTCAGAAGTGGGCAATACTGAATCGGTTATTTTTCAAAGACCAATCAATGTATTTAATATAGTCACACACAGCCTGAATATCTTTGTGGTAACATCGTTGACTGAAAAAATAGGTGATGTAAGTTCAAATGTCAGAGGAGGTATCATTTCCCTTGAGGTCACAGATATGTGCCTACAAACAAGAAACCAAGAATGAGTAGAGCTTCATGCTGACTGCCTCCATCCAACTAGTAGCATAATTTTTAGTGTACGAGGAACATTTTCATCAAAATAACCAATTTTCCTTCTGATTACTCATTGATCGACAGAAACATGTTATTAAAATGATGTTTAACGCAGCGGTTTCATATTCTTTTAAAGTTTCTCCTGACCTTTAACAACATGAAGATACCAACGTGTCGGTTACTTATGTTTCACTAATCTCATTAGCTGACTTTCCATAAGATCATCAGCTGACTTCCACTTGGTACTTAACTCTATACGTCCAACTTCTCTGTACTTCCTTTCTGACAGTCGTAGATTAAAACAGGATGTAATGCTGAGTGTTAAACTAGACCCTCAATAGATATTTAGATAGATTGCAGGTTCGTTAAACTGACGAACATTGACAAAATTCAATTGAATTGGTTTTCAACCCACCAGAGGTTAATGGGATAATTTAGTGATTCCATATTAGGTTTGTTTAGTTGATTCATAACACACAGTGATACACCATTACTAATTGGATGACGATGTTTTGAGTATAAATTATCACTGTTCATTACCATATCAATGTAATCACACTCCTTTCAATATCTGATTTTTATATTCCTATCACCTGATATTCTTTGTTTTCATTGATAGTACCGTTTTCCATATCTCTAGTATAGGTGATGCATCATTCTTAACTCACTGAACAAAGGTTCATGAATCAATCTCTTTCTCTTCCCACCTATTTATATTGGACTTGAGTACAGCGATTTAATCCCATCCTACTGTGTGTAGTTGTGCATTGAAATAGCCAAGTTTTTACTAGATTACTGATTCTGTCATCCTATACTTGGCTAAATTTCTATATTCCGACAATCTGACTGACCTCGACCGACTAGTTTGATCTATCAACTTGACGTCAGTCAGTCAATGCACAGAATCTTGTAGATTAGATTACTTCGCTTAATTGGTTCTATTGGATTCTTAAGCCAGCCGACAAAGCTTATCTTTGAGTGAGTTTGTAGGTTTGAATACCACTCTAATTCCAACCTTATCGAAAATCTTACGTGAAGTTTCTGTTATTCTTTCTTTATGTGCTTCACTTCCTTATTTCAGTCCTTATACTGACCAGTGGGTTTTCTACCTCTATCATTCAGACATTCGACTAAACCTACCTACACTGACACTGGATGAGATGACCTGAAGTCTAGACACAGGTTAAAATGTGTTGGTTTCTTGTAGACAGTAGTACCCAAATCACCACCTGCCCTTCATTTCACTCTGCAATCCAACATGGGTAATTCTCCTTGTTAATTGTCTACCTCGTAAGTGAATTAAATTACGTCTGCTACTGAGTTTATATGTGTGATAAAATTGTCGACATATTCCAATTTCAATACAGTGAATGCATCATCCACATTTCGCCGCCAAATCTTACCTGTCTGATTAAATGGTTTGAAACTGTGTGTTCCCAACTATCCATAAATATGTCTGCTAGGATTGGGAATATTGGTAATCCCATAGCTACTCCTTCTGTTTGTTTTGTGTTGAAACGTGAAGAGTGTAGAGGTCAGACACAACTGTACACCTAATATGATTTCATCAACCGATATCTCACTTCTTCGAGTAAATTATGAGTCAATATGTAGTTGATTTCTGACTGCCACCTGTGCCATATTGATTGATATTTTTTGGATGAACTCTGGTTACGTCAATCAGTTTTGATGTAATGAGGGGGAACTAAGTAATCCTTTTTAGGACAAGTTATTCAAAATATGGATTTCCTTTCAAACAGTAAGACAGTATAAAAACATGATATATATTCAGAGAAAATGGTATCCTTAAGGATGTTACATCTCAAATGTTAGTGCTCAACTCACCTGCATCAATAATCTTTGAGTAGGACTTTTTATAATTTGAGCTTGTGTTGCAGTAAGACCAACAGATAAGGATTTCTAGAAAATGCGAATGGTGAAGTAGATAAAAGATAACTAAACATTCCTAACTCTAACCACAATACATGATAAGTAAAGAAAAGTGATGAAAGTATGTAAAGTATACAAACTGGTCGTCCAATGGTGACCAATGTAGGTGCCCGGTCCTAACTGTTTAACCCTGATTGAAGCATATCGATTAAGTTTTGCAGTTTGGACGCTAAGCGACTGTGGTGCGATGCATTTTTGTGTTAAGTGGTAAAAGTCAGTTGGTAGGAAGCCCTACTACCCTTATGTTTCATGCTTGTTAGCAGTCATCAGCAGGTTGTACATGCAACCAAAATGAAACTAGTGTTTCCCTCAAGAATTCGAACCTCGAACCCTGGTCAGTGCTGAGGCCAGAGACTTAACGACACGGCTGTTCAGAGGACGACTGACTTCTGTATGACTGGACCATGCATATGAACTGGTCACAAATGGGTAACTGATGGAATGTCATCAACCTAGTTATTCACCTTGAAAACAGAGTGTGTATATATTGCTGCTGAACGCACGTAGAGTAGGAGAAGTCAGTTAGTCTGTCTTTTGTCCACTAAGTTATCATCGGTCGTCTGTATAATCCACAGCATAACTTTGCTTCATTATATAAAGAAACAGAAGGGATCAAGATGGGACCTGGAATTAATGACTATCGATCGAAATTGCGTATCAACTTAGGAGGTACCCAGATGAAGGGCAAAGAAATAAAGCAGAAAACAGTTTGAAAGTGGTAGAATGTTGTAATAAGAGACGAAGAAGAGATTAAACATTAAGGGCACTCGGTCACACAGCGACCATCTGTAAAATTGTCGTCACTGTGAGTTCGATCATATACAGTATTGTCTACAATCTTCAGTCATTGGTTTTAGCCGTCAAGTGAAGTATAGTCAGAAAGTCTACAATTTCCTACTTGGTTTAGACCCACAGTCAGGGAACTTAGGAAGTGATGCCATCTTTTGGCCTGGCTACCTGCCTTTTTCCATCCGCAACTTGCTTCACCTAACGTTCAGTGACGAAGCAGATGGCGACTAATCACATGCAACACATATCTCAGCCACCTAAGTTTATCAAGCTGAACAACCTTATCAAATGACCCAACTCTTTTGCCTAAAACTCTACTCTTGCCTACTGTGCTACTTACGTGGTGCTTTTACAACACGCAACTTATATTCCTAGAGAAATACTAGACAAACACTGAAATCCTTCTGTTGTCCTTCACGTTTAACGAGCATATTTCTCAGCCGTATCGTAGAAGATAGCAAAGTACAACACAGTATACTCAGTCCCCAAAAGGAAACCGAACGTCATGGAGGTGCTATAAACCAACAACCCTTTATATCTGTCAAGGCTGACCGCACCTTCAAAGTAAATGAAATGGTCAACATATTGAAACTCCGCCTAAATAAGGAGGAAACGGACTGGAATACAGTCCATGATCGAGACTGAATATGTCTTCAGTATCTTAATCGGTGTTTCATCATTTTACATCGGATCTAGAGTCAGTCTTCACCTTTTTTATAACCTGTAAATCATGTGTCTCCTTTCAGCATTACCAGATTTGTAGTTAAGCTGAATATGGATGAGCTTCTAAAATACTGAAGCTTACTGACGTCACATGTGATGCAAGGTGACAAAATTAGAAACAAGCAGTATTCCACTGGTGAATAATTTTTCTTTGAAGAAATCTTCTCATAAAAACTGCTCAAGGTTCAACAGCATCTTTTAGTTTTACTGTGAGATCTAAAGCCTGAAAACTAAAAATTATATCTCGAGACTTGTTGGGATTTATTGATTTTCAGGTTGGTATTTATCGCGGGCTGATACTGTTAAAAGGAAGCTTTGGAAACCTGGAAGCACTGGACAGATGTTTCTTCGTAGAGTACAACTACTCAGTAGTGCGCACCCATGAGCTTACCCATCTTTGTATTTAGGTTTCATTGTGAGAATATTATCATTTAGCTACTGGTTTTGAATCCTATGGATCACATTTTCTTAGTTCTCCCAGTTCATAATCAATGGTGGGTTCATGGAAATGCACTACATGCTAGAAAAAAACAGTTGTTCAGTGCCTTCAAGTTTTCACTGGTTTTCCAACTGATTTCCACCTTAAAATCGTATGTTTGACACTACGGGTATTTTTCATGTTTCACACAATTTGAATAGCGAAACATAAGGTTCATAGATGTTGATAATTATTTTATAACCCGTTTAGAAGATCAAAATCCTCGACTTCTGTGAATGAATTAATGAAACATGTACTAATGACGGTTAGACTGCCATCATCGAAAGATTCTATTTCGAAAGGACAAAAATGACCCCATCAAGTTGATAATGATTGCATAACTATCTAGGAAGTCGTTAGTAGGCTAAGTGTTACAGGTATCGTCAATTTATTGGTCAGTTGCCCGTTGGTTGTAAAAGCGTTTGGTTCAACTGAGATCGTATTCATTTCAATTAACAAGAAATTCAGTCAAATCTGATCTAGGTGGTTATGTCTTCGATCACATATTGTGATCACTCACAAACATACGACAAACACTGCAAAATGCATTGTTTTCATCTAAAATCTCATATTTTAAATGAGAATATATTGAAAATATATAGGGGGGGGGATGTAAGATGATGTTTGAAATTTAAGCGAAAACCTAGTTCATGGCAAGAATGAACTCCGTAGGCCGCTGGTTCGAACCCCGTGGCGACCTAGTTGTTTGACTCACCTTCATTTATCACTCAGGTGCAGAAATACCAGTATGTTAGATGATAGCTAACGAAGAATGAAAGGAAAACTGAAAAGAACTAACCGAATCATTAGAGTTTTTGTAGTTATCAGATTTCAAAAGCTGGTCGGGATGCATTAATGAATGTATATAAGGCTGATAATGTGGGAAACGTTTGCCAGTTGGGGATAATTGGCGCTTAATATTTTTTCCGTGTTTCTCAGGACTTTTCTGTCGATTTTTTGTTCTTGTTGTCGAAAATGAACTCTCTGAATTCTCAGGTCTACTCGGGCTACTTGATCTGACTGGTGGATAATCAAGGGCGCGTGACATCATATAGCATTTTTGTGATGGTGATATCATCATTGATGGTTGGTTAGCAGATGGTGTCGTTGGATACGGTTGTCGCAGTTGTTGCTGTTGAATACGGTCATCATATGGTCTGATCGACGCAGCTGTTGATGGATTTTTGTAGGCAGTTTTGTCTGAATGATTTTGCCCGACTATTGGTAAACTATTCGACATTGTGTTCTTGTCTATATTGCCTGGTTTATTCATGTTATGGAGAATCGTCTTCAAAGAATCACTCAGCCTTGCATTTTCTTCCTTAGAGAAGAAACAAAAGTTTTTTGAATATAACATGAGTTAGAAAATAATATTTTGGGACGATTAGTCCCTTTAAAATTTTGCACAATGTTATAAAAAGATGGTGCTCTAAGCAATGTGATGCATTCGCGCAATACATTTCGTACAAGGAGAGTTTCTGTAGTTCAGGGGGATAATTTTGAGACTGCTGGGTTGTCTGAGTTGAACTGTTTAATCGTGATGTGTCTTTCACTCCTTTCCGGTAGTTTCCAGCCCACTGGATAGTCGATAGGTGATTTATATGTGACACTAGTCGGTAAAACATGCCGGTGTAGACACTCAAGGCCTCTTGCATGGCGAAGCTCTCCGAAGCGTTTGACTTTCATAGGATTTTGACGATTAAACAATCCAGATCAGAGAACTCAAAACCATCAAAAAACATTTCTAACAACGAGGTCACACATACGTACTTGCCAATACACTTTATATGAAGGATCAAAATACGGTGGGGTAAGGCGACTGAAGTGAAAAAAAATCTGGTAAGCAGTCGGACATCGTGGCTTAGTTAGTTAAGCAACAAACCAGAAACCAAGTGTTCGTTGGTTTGAATCCCACCACGTTTCAAATTCTCATTTCACCCTCAATCATCACTCAGTATCGAATAATGCAGGTCTAGAAAACCAAGGCTATCTCAGATAGTCAAAATGATAGTCAAAATGATGCTCTCCATCTCATTATAGTTCATTTGAATTTGGACTGGGATGAGAAATCAAGACTGGGTAACCGTTATGAGTAAGATCAAGTGGCAGTAAGACATCACAAGTGCCGCGCCAGGAACCCGATGGTCGCTGGTTCGAATCCCGCCACTGTCCGAGTTTTCATTTCATCTTTAGTCATCATCCAGTATCAATAAAGAAAGAGAGAGATTTGGTGAGTAGAGGGATAACAAGGAGGAATAATACGCTGTCACATCTCCCATGTAATTAAAATGAGGTAAAGACTACCAAGGTAGGGTTAAGGTAAGGACACCTTGTTTTTAAATACACAAAGGGGTTTTCCACTTTCATATAGGTAGGGACTCAATGAACGACCTTGACTATCTATCCTTGAATAATCCTTCATTCGCCAATCTTGCGTTCAAAATATGTTTGAAAAGGCTATAATTACCCTGCTATGCACTGATAAGCTTCATTTCTCTTTGGAAGGCGAACATTTTCGACAAGTTGATAGTGTCGGCACGATGATGTCTACTTGTCACGTGTAGAACTTTTGACTGAGGACATAAACAAAAAGTTCGTCTTTACAGAAGATACGTTATTGGTCTCTTGGTTATGTAACAAGCATAAAGATGCAAAAAGTGAGGTTAAGTAAAGGGACCCAAGTTATCTATACAACAGATATATTTGTAGAAGAAATCATATTATTAACAGAGACACCCACAGAAAAAACATATCCTCTGAAATTCATCATTTAGTGTAAAAATGTCTCGACGATGCGAACGTATCAGTCTTCTCTCCCGAAGAAAAAAGCTTACATCAATCTACTGTATGAGAGGGAATCAAATAGTATGGCTTAGTTCAGTTATGAAAAAGACACATCATACATGCAAGCTCAATATCATGGAGAAAACGAAATCTATGCTTCAAAATAAATCTGATCACTTCACAGATGATTACATTACAGCTCAATGCGTATGTAAGTTTGCATCTGTTTGTGGTGGCACATAGATTTGGAGGAGTAATCGTACAATGAAGTCGAGGGTCGTGAAGCATATCCCTCAATGGCTAGAAAAACAATCACATTCAGATAATCCGACAAATACTGGGGGCAGACACATGTCATTCCTTATACTTAAAAATATTACAGAAACAGGTCATAGGATTGGCCCCCAAAATAGCTTTTAGGCTGCCATATAAGAGCCGTCAAGATCGTATAGTTAGATACACGGACGCTTTAGCCATACAAAACTTCAACCCGACTTTGTGAACACAAAAACAACGCATTCTTACCTCAAACCTTCAGTCTTCGTAATTTAAAGGGAGGTAAAATGCAATCTAAAAATAGTTTTAGTAATTTATCACTGCCTATAGATGAAGAAGGTCGTCTCCAACCAGCGTTTATCATGGTTTCAAACTCTGTTTGTTTTTGAAACCATTTAAGTACATGTTCTCCCATCCTCAACTGCATGAATCGATTACTCCTCCCTATGTATGTGTGACCACATACACAAGTAAATTGGTAAACACACTGGGATGTGATGTAGTCATTGATGCAGTGTTTAGGTTTTTGGTGAAGCATGTGTTTTGCTTTTTCCACAATGATACTATTAGCTGTGTAATATGTTTTCTTAATGGCTTATGTCAGCCTACGTCTCAAAGTGATACTATTCAACTCCTCTCTGTATGGTAGAGTGATATGGACGCTTTTCTCAGGAACCGTGTAGAGACTTGGCTTCGGTACTACTTGACCTCTACAACGGTTTATAAACTTCAGTGGATATCTATTTTCCATAAGTGTTCTCCTCAGCAATTTGATATCTTCATACATCGTATCTGATATACTGATAAGACAGATCCTATTAAACGGGCATTTTCTTAGACATTGTTCGTATTGGATTGGACAAAAACTGTGAAAATTCAAGTATTGTCCTGTCCATAAAGGCTTTCTGTAAACTGACCATCTTATTGAACCATCTTGTCGACTCAGGAGTATATCTAGGAATGGCAGATGATTATTATTCTCTTTCTCACAGGTCATGTTGATGTGAGTTTGTATGGTGTTGTCTTTTTAGTAAACGGGCCATATTCTCATACCTCTCACAAATTACTATGATGTCATCAACATCTCCTGTAAAGAGAAACCTTAGCGATAAGATCACCAGCCAGATTTTCAATACATGACGTATAAATATCAGCTAATAATCGTCCTAACGGACTTCCCATAGCTACACGGTTAACTTGTCGAAAGCGTTCACATTCAAATATGAAGTAGACTTTGTTGGTAAACAGCAATAATACCTCAGAAACGTTGGAGTAACAGGAAATGGGAGGTTTCTAGAAGATATGTAGTCACATAGAGTGGTAATAGTTGTGGACAATGGCACATTAGTGAATAAAGAATTTACATCAGAAGAGTACATAATCTTGTCTTATATATTCATGTTACTAAGTCGGTCAACAAGTTGAAAGGTATCATTCAATGAAAACTTACATAATTCGTTTTAAACTAGATTTTCACCAACTATTTCTCCAGTTTATGTATGGGGGAACGACACATAGACAATATAGGACGTGAAGGATTATTAACTTTGTGAATTTTAGGTAATCCAAATACACTTGGAAATTCGGATCCCATAAGTTTCAATGTATTAAATTCCCCTTTGCTAATAGTATTCACATTCAAAAGTTTTACTAAATACGCGGTTACTTTCGCTTTCAATCTTCTAATATCTTCTGATGGGACATAGGCTATGAATATGCTTTCATCACGGGGGATAACTAGCATTTTATTTTTATAGTCAGATTTATTCATCACAACGATACCTGATCCCTTATCGCGTTTAAGAATGATTATACCTGATCTGTTCTGCAATTCTTTCAAAGATTTTTTAAGTGCTATGAATCCAAAATGCTTCTTTGTCTTATTTCTGAACTATGGAATTGATAGGCAATAACAAATAATTTAGCTTTTAACCAATTTTGTTTATCTGAAGAGGACTGAGTTGGTCATAAAGATTTTTAAAGTGACCGTCAATATTCAATCGAGAGATTTGTGTGAGTGAAACTGAAAAATTCAGTCGAAGGGAAAGTGCCTCTTTTACATGAATAGAAAGTAAAACAGAGGACTTCTCTGCAATATTGTTGACAATCGATTGACTGGAGAATATCTCAGTTCAGCTTACAATCTGTGGGTTGTTTGATATAAGAATATCAGAGTGAAGTAGCATATGCGATTTTACACATATTACTGCAAGTATCCGAATTAAATACTACATCCGACCAATAGTCTCAGTACTAAATATCAGAACAAGTCCCTCGAAGTTTGTTGACTTCATTCATTGATATACCGGACGCCAATCTTAATCTCAGTAAAAAGAAAACTATTATGGAACTTTCAAAATATCCATATGTTAGTTTTCGCTCAATTAAAACTGGATGGACACAGACTTAATGTAGCTATCAGAAGAACATATTATGCAGTTAGGGATCGATTATTAGAGACCACAAAGCCTGTATACTGTCCTCTAAACCCTTAAAGTATATGAATGATAAGGTCACATCCCACTGGATCTGCCAGTTCAAATGTATATATGGTGACACACATGCACGGGAGACTGATAGATCCATGCAAGTAGGGGTCTCGGAGTATATTTCAAAGTGACTTGAAAAGTAAACTGAATCATGTGAATACGTACACGTTGTTAGTAGCCATTCAATTTCTTCAACCACATAATATTTCGTTTAGACAGTTTCTGTGCCACCTATATCTATTTACAAAACGTGATAAGGACAGGCACTTGAATGTGTCAAAGTTTTAGCTATCAAGAAGTTTAGAGCACCTTTATGTGTTAGAAAAACCACTTATTATCCCATGAAACTTTATCCGGTGTGCTCAACTCTGAAACCAGGTTCGAAGTACTTACATATTTACTTTATTGATTTTGATTTAGCCTTCAATTTAAGCTTTCTGATTGATATCCATTTATATTATTTCCCCTTGTCTTTTTATTAACTTTGATATCAATACTTATTATCATTTTGACTGTTTGAGATAGTCTTGGTTTGTCTGACTTGTATTGATACTGGGTGATCATTGAAGGTTAAATGAAAATTTGGATAAGAGTGGGATTCGAACCAGCGAGTTTCTGGCCCGATGGTATACTAACTGAGCTATAAGGTTCAATCACTGACCAGATTCTTATTTCACTTCAATTACATAGGGTTACGCTCAACTACCATGTGGATTTGTGAACCTACGGTTTCGAGTCCGGCTGCTGTCCAACTTTTCATTTTGCCTTTAATCATCAGTTAATACCAGTATAAATATTTATTATCACCTTGGCTATCTGAGATAGCAGCCATAGTTTGGCAGACTTTTATGGATAGTAGATGATGATTATAGGAGAAATGGGAATCTGAGCCCAACTTATGATAAGTATATATATGATCGGATTGTTTGAAATGTGTCGCTGCAAATACGTTCAGCGATCCATATGAATTACGACTTCTTGTTGTTTTGTAGGAGTTTATAAGGGGAACCAGTGATTTTATGTGTTGAGAGCATTGCAGGTGAATCATTTAGCTGAGAGAATATCACAGGATAAAAATTATCTGTTATCAAATAGTGAATTAAATATCATTCTTTCATGTTAATAATGGATAATGGCTAGCAGTGGAGTACAGGACGCGTATTTCGTCCTATTTGGAACTCATCGGCTGGATTTTTACTTGACTTCCAGTGAGAGGTGTTATTCCCAGCAAGACTCGAACCCAAAACTGAACTCTAGAGCGCTATCCAGTAGGTGACCGATTCACGACAGCCACTTCTTGTGGGGTGGATATAGTTTTTATGTTGTTAATTGAAACACAGACAGTATCAAGGCGTCCAAGAGGGAGTCCATATGCCGATAGAAACCGATCAACCTGGTCCAATCAATGACGCGATAACACAAGCAATAACATGAAATTTTTATTATTTTATAACAAATCCACTTTTCCTGCGGAAATGATAAAGCTTGAAGTTGATTCCATCTTTTTCTTTTAAACGTATGTCGTAATGAGAGACAATGAAACCTCTTTGCCATCTCATTTTGTTGTCAAAGAATTAGGTTGTCTAGAAAATTCAAATCGAGTATGAACAGATAATTCTCTAGCTTCACGCTGAAACTTGAACATCCGTTGGAGAACATAAATATTTCTAAAATAGTCTTACACTACTAAATTACATTTAGGTAGGCAAAAAAGCTTACATAAAAGTATTGTTTAGGGGCAGCGTCAAACTACTCAGGTATTTTGGAAAACCACTTACAGATTGCATTTTAGCACTTAGAGGTTGCTAAAACTATTGAAAACGAAGTTTCTTTGACAATGTCCTTGATGATTCCATACACAGTAAGTAATACTGAGTGATGTTTCGAAGGTAATTTAATGCTTAAAATGATATCCAATAAAATAATACTGTCTCATCATGTGTTATATAGAATAAAGTAGCATGCTTTAAACTAAAACAAACCCAGTCATGATGGCAGAGGAAAATGATGAAAGATTATAAGTCCACAGTTGGTTGTGCAGATTTTCACTTTCTTTCGGGAAAGGGAAGTGAGTTGTGAAACATTGTGATTACTCTATTAACTCTTTCCCGATTAGATTGCCTCAAACCTTACTTTATATATATATATATATATATATATATATATATATATATATATCACCAAGCCACGATAGCTACTTCTTGTGCGCCGCACAAGAAGTAGTGGTGTAGTGGATAATGCCCTCGCGTTTAAAGCGATCCGAGTCCCGGTGGGAACAACACTCGGTACTGGGAAGCAAGTACATCCAGCTGACGAGTCCGAAGTTGGATGAACTGCACATCCTGAATTCCACTGCTAGTCACTGCCCACCATTTCTATATTTTTTACCGTCAAAAATTAGAAGGAATACATTGACAAGAATATATGAACTTACTTCCAGTTGTTGAATTGTTTCTTCTCGAATTTTTATTATACTTCTCAACTCTGTAATTTCTGCATTTGACTTTTTCGCTTGTCTAAACAAAAATAAAAATGAAACAGAACTATGTATATATTTGACCAACGAACAAATAACTGTTGTTGCGAAGAAAAAAAATCATTTTCTCTCCTAACAACATAAAATTATGTTATTTCATGGACGTCTGGAAGGGGACGACTGTGTTCTTTGAGTTCGCTGGATCTTGCTGTTTTGAATTATATCATGGGTTAGATTTTCATTTCACCTCCAGTCTTCACATAGTATCAGTGCAAACAAGTTTACCAAAACAGATAGTCAAGGTGAAAAACGATATAATCATGCCTTCGTAGGCTAACTTTCTAAAACGAGTATGTGTGACAAATCATATAGTATGGAAGAGATTACATCATCTTTCAGAATAACTTCAGATAAGGTAAAAACAAAACAAGAGACTCCCACTATCTTACTGTCAGATATTGTGCATTGTAATATCGTCTTACCTAGCTCAGTGAACATATTGCAAAACAATAGGCTAACACCGAGGACTTGGTACTTATGTTGGTTGCCCAAGAACTGCCAGCTTATGGGAATCAAGCTCGAAATGTACACATGATTTTTTACTGAGATGTCTTTTGCTCACCATTTGGTTAGTGTTTTACCACTCTGACTAACAGAATAGCTATGGAAAGCGTCACTACTCCTATAGCCTCACCGTAATACATGGTTAGTATGATTTGATGAGTATTTAGTTGTCAACACCACGACGACGACCCTACATAATGTCACTCATGGAACTGGTGGCTTTGTTACAGCACTTCTAACTTCAGGACTAATTAATGTAGGTTCAAGTTTACAAACCAACATAAGTTTATTGATAATGGCCGACAAGCAATAAATGAAACTGAAAAAGAGCTGCAGGCCTGTTAACGCTCCTAATGATCAGTTAATCAATCAATCAACATCACAATGGGACTTCCCGTTACTGCACAACCGTCTAAGTTGCCACGCCTCTAATCAGCGCATGAAACATGAAGGCACCAAAATGAAAGATAGGCATTAAGAAAAACTTAGTTGTACTGAATTGTTTTGCAACATAATTCAGGTTAAGCTACCCTAAGAAACTGATAGATAAACTCTGGTCAACACTTACGATTATATAGCAGAGGTATCCATGACGCGCGTCTCTTCCTATTTGGGACTCGTCAGCTGGATGCACCTCCACCCCAGTGGATGATATTGTTCCCACTGAGGCTGGGACCTAGTATCCATCACTTCAGATGCCAAAGCTTAATCCACTGGACCACTGAGGCACGACAACCACCTCTTGTACAATGGTTATTAGTTATAACTATTTGTTGATTTACTTGTAATTCTTCGTTGTTACACTGGATCGAAGTGGTCTACCTCTGTTGGCACTTTGGCTCCTATGAGGATGTCTCAATATTGCCGGAATATTTATTATGGCGATCTGCTTGGTTTGAGGCGTTTGAAGCTATGGGTACAAGGTTCAAGTCCCAATGAGGACAACATCCCTCATTGGAGTGTAAGCATATCCAGCTGACCTGTCCCAAACGGGACAAAACACGGGTCCTGGATTCCTTTGCTAGCCACAACCCGGGAAATTACCATGACAAATGTCCAGGCATCTGCTGAGGAGCCCATATACCAAAAGCGGTCAAACAATTCGATCCAGTATAACAACTGAGAATTACAGAGAATTACCGTCTACTAACGTATTTGTGCAAATCGGTGCATCTCACCATTTTTAAGGTAGCTAAAGCAGTTAGATACAATATAGATATTTTCGGAAATTTCCATACTGCTAATAGGGTAGCGTGATTACATATAAAGTGATAATACTGACTTCAGTACTTCTCATCTGCAATATACCATGATGATATACCTTATGCCTCCCTGTCATTGATTGGATCATATCGATCGGCCAGTATTAGTGTAAGCGACCCGTGTTGATGTCACTGGGTGGCCAGTAACTTCAGTTTGATCACAGAAAAGAGTATTGACTAACGGGAATAGTGAGGCATACACACTGGAGTTCAGATGTAAATAGGAGCCGGCCAATTCGGTTCAGTCGGTAACAGGAAACTATACTTGTAACACAAGAAGTGCTTATTTCAGCTCATTGTCCTGGAAGATAACACTGTTACTGGATGGGTTTGGTATTGGATGAGAATCTTAGTGTCAGCCAAAAACTTGTATGCAGTGACATCCAGCTAACCAGTCCCGAATAGAATGAGAGATAATCCCCAGATTACATTGCTACTGTACTTTATTACTACTATGTATTATCATCGGAAACTAAGTTAACAGAATATTTCTTTCCTGAAGAATATTTTGATGGTTTTTTTTCATCAATAAAGAATCACCACAGTTTATCGATTACAGCCTACCATTACACTGACTGTCACAACTGACATCAGTCGACAGGTCTGAAAGCCTAGTTACTTCTCCCTATTTTGTGGAACAATTAACGTAATCCAAACTACTTATCATGAAAGCTGAGGGTAATGGATTCGACTCCGCATATATTTGTGGGTATACACCTCTAATGGGTCACAAAATGAGGTGAAACAGCTGTCTATTACTTCCATGTTCTCGAATTGAGTACAATCTATATTGAAACTTATTTCAAGCTGTATAGAACTCGCAAGTGAAAATAGCACACAACACGAGAGTTTAAGAAAGCAGAACGTTTTAACTATGATCAGGTAAGATGTGGAAATAGGTGTGTGTGTGTTGACAATAAAATGCTTACATATTCATCATTGACATGCTATTTTCATTTTTCAAGAGATAGTTATAAAACCGATCGAATTCTCCTGAGTTTCTTTTCACCATGATTGTTTTGGTTTGTTTCAAAGCAAAGTAATTTTGCGAAAAGTGAACGGAAGGGGGGGGTTGAGTTGAAGGAAATGAATATACATATACGTGAATAAAGTACAAAGTTATCAATACTGGGTGATAATCGAAGGTGAAATGAAAATTTGAACCAAGGCACGGCTCCTAGCTCAGCTGGTAGAGCGCCGTGTCAGAAACCCTGTGGTCGAAAGTTCGAATCTCAGAGGGGTCCAAATTTTCATCTCACCTTCAATCATAACTCAGTATCAATACCAGTCTGACAAGTGACGGCTATCTCAGATAGTCAAAAAGATACCAAGTTATCATTCCATGTTAACTACCTGTTTTTGTTCACGCTCGGATCAAAGTTTTAAAAAAATAGCTGATGTGATGAAAGATTGGAAATGGAATTAGTTAATTTTTCAACTAACTCATCAAACAGGAAAGCTTTCATAGAGGGTTAGAAATGGGGTTAGAACAATTGGCGAAAAACTATCGATATACCTGTTTGTAACTACATGGGATAATGTAGTACTCTTCAATCCCTTTTAGATAGCAGTCACATTGAACGACCTACATACATGGTTCCACAAAAGCAGGTGAACTGATGCATCCACACAGAAGTAGTCAAATATGAACGATGTTGCTTTGAGCTGCTAGAAATCGTTGGGTGATAAAAGAGTAGTAGTCTCAGCGTTGACGCAAAGAGGATTCTCCTTAAAGCGTTTGATATCCTTCTTCTAAGAGCGTCAGTGGCAGAATCACCTTTAAAGTTTAAATTCATATAGTGTGCCTTTTTTGGCTCGGTCAAATGGCTTTTTTGCAAAGAGCGATAAAGAGTGCTACAGCTGAACAAGAATCACCCTATTTGAAGAATAGCCTCATTCATAGTCACCTATAAAGTGAAATGAAACCTTCCAAAGGCTATATGTCTTCGTATTTTCTGTATCACCCAAGCTCTTGTCATTCATCTAGAAAAACCTGAATTGTGTACGCAAAAGAACATTATTCAACCTCCTCTTCTTTTATGGTCTTAGTTTTTAGTCTTTGAAATCAACTTTTCCCACTCCTTTTTCAACACTATTCACTTCTTAAATAATTTGCTTCTCATTCTTGTTGCTATCCTCCGCCTGATCACATTTCATTTTCCAATTATGTTATGTCACGAAACTTCTTGTCCAAACTTTCTTAATTAATATTCACTACTCATCACAGTCATGTTTTGATTTTAATGACAGTTCACATGATTGACAACATTTGTGTTGCTATGCCTGACAAAGCACTTTGAAAAGATCAAATTCTTACACAAGAAAAATGTATAAATTTGCAGTTGGACAGCTTCGACAGTGAAATGGCTGAAAAGAAACTCTGCGCTGAAATATACTTGTTCTTCTTTCTCAATAAGTTAGATACATTTATCTCCCCCATCTTTTTCAACTTTCGTTTAAGAATGTTCGTCTAATACTTCTGTATATTGGTAAAGTTATTTCCGCATATTTATTTCCTCAATTGGTGAATTTGTAACTACTTCATATCGATAGTATTATTAATTCAAGCCGACAGTTTTCTATCAAACCGACTAGAGTATGCGAAAACTTGTGTGAATCAATGTTAAAAATCGTTTTAGGTTGTAAACAAGCTGATGAGAAACCATGAAATAAAATGAATTCATGCTATTCTACTAGAATGATTCTTCTGGCTCTATTAACAACCATAACCTTGCACAACATAACCTCTTATTTCATGAGTACTCCACATCTTGAAACAACAAACAGGATTCATCAGCACACAAGAGATTTGTTTTCCTTTTTTACTAAAGACCAAAATGAAGCATTTTCTAGTTTTATGAACAAAAGATGTCCATTTTCAATTCAACAGCATCATATGTAAGCAAATTAAATGATGTGCCTGTGGTGAATATCTTTTTATCACCCACAGAAAACAGCAACTTTAAATTTCAAATCGACTCAACTATGTTTTATTGTGCATGTTGATACTGAATGATGACTGAAAGTAAAGGAAAATTTGGACCGTGATGGGATCCAAACCAGAGACCACCGAGTACCCCTGCAATCTGCTATCTCAAATTTTCAAAATGGTAATCAATATGGGGTTCCCCATCTCGTTCTGATTCAGTTAGATTTGGATAAGAAGTCCTTTCGAGGTAGCCAGTTTGAATACGATCAAGCGGTAGTAAGGCATCACGAATTCACATGGTATCCGGGCAAAATGCCACTTGTGACTGAAGTGAAATAAAAATCCAGTCAGCAGTGGGGCCTCATAACTCAGTTGGTAGAGCACGGTGCGGTAAACGCAGAGGTAGCTGGTTGGAATTCTGACACGGTTCAGATTTTCATTTCAACCATGGCTATATCAGATGGCCAAAATAGTATTCTAGGTATTACTAAGGATGGCTTCATAATCCATCTAAATATTCATCAAGGAAAGAAGCTGAACCAACAGTTTCTGCTTAGTTAATTATAAAAGAGTTTGGTTGAAGACATGAAGTCAGAACGGAGGAAGATCTTACTCCGACTTAAGGAACGTCACCCAGTCAAACAGTGCCTTCATATGAATTTACGGCATAAAAATTGTGAAAGTAGGAGACGAAATAGAGGAGTGTAACATTCTTGAAAAAATAATTTCTGTTCCTATCTTTGACTTTCCAGTGTGATGATATTAAAGTGGGAATCAACGAACGAATCAGAAGTGAATTGTTCAGGAGTTTACCAGCTGTAAGACTTGCCTCACTGTATCAGATAGTAAATACAACCAAGTTGTAAACATTCGACAAGATTCCGACACCTGTCACATGTAGGCCCAGAGGTGGGTAAGCGGGAGAAACGGAGAGGTGTTTGCCACCAAGAATTGGCGAGCACATACCATATAGTCTATATCTAACGGTTCCTTCCTTACTCAATAGACACGATGATCTGAAGAACTTAGCTGCAGTGGTTTTATTAGCCTGTAAGAAAACGGCTTTAGAGCTAATTCCACAAGAAAATATTTCTTTCCAAAGGGTCTCTCTACAGCTGGCTGTTTGTTTTCTGAAGTCTTTGAGTGTGATATACTATCCTCTATAACCCTTTTAATTTCTGTTGAAATCCTTGTTCCTGTTTGATGGGTTAGTAATATAATCTGCTACTGAATGAGTGTGTCGACTATTCTTTATGGGTTGGTGCCATATATTTCACCTAGTCATCTCTACGTCATCACCAGTTGTATATAATGACAATCAATCAATTTTAAATGTAGCCATACGTTACTACTCATAGTTAATCAGTAGCTGGAGTTTGAAGCAGTAAGCCTTTAGCGTTTAGAGACAATGAACAGGTAAGGAGTCCTTCAAAGGTTTGAACGAACGCATATTTTTTATGATACTGGGATTCTTATCGTCTACTGTCGGCATTAGTGTTCATATTGAAGCTAAGAAGTGCTAAGGATTACTATGACTATCTGGATGCTTATGAACTCTTACTCCAGTATAAGGAGGAAGTAACAATTAACAGAAATAACTACTTCACGCAAACTCATGAACCTGATAACTTTTACTCAATTTGCAACTAAGTGCATATTGAAGTATTAGGTGACGGACGTAAATTCGGCAAAACTATGAGTTACTTTAGTAATTTTCGCCTCAATCCGGTATGTATCACGGACTAACATCATTTGAAGAACCATTGAAAACCTGAAAACACTGAACGGTCGTTTCGTATAAGTATGCATTACCACCAATTTGCATCAGAATCCAACCACAGATTGAACTCAGTTTTCATTGCAAACACACTGACATTCAGTCACTGGGTCGGAATCCATTAGTCCACATTTTTCTGCTTTGATCATTCCCCGAAATACCATGAACATCGTCCGTTGCCATCGTTGAATACCTGTCCGCGTGTTTGATCTTGTCTGTTTTACAGGTCAGTTCTTAACAGAACTTCAGGAAATCTCTTGAGGTATGTCACTCATGAGCACTGCACAATAATCCAATTTTGAGGTTTGCGTGAATTTGTTGGGTATTCTCTTTGGTGGGACAATGAGGTTGAGCTACTGAGGAGTCCCTTGTCAGGACAAAATATTTGCCCAATGCTCCCAAGCTTTTAATTGTCCCTCCGACTTATGTCAGTCCGTGCTACATAGCTCTAATTTTGCATAGCTTTTGCCTGCCGTTTTTGCCCATGACCTTAAAATAACCTACCTGGCTGTTTTCACACCGTTACTAGTTTTTCTTCCCTTTGATTTCAAGGCTGAACTCTCGTTGGTTGTTAACTATTTTTACCTATATGCAGATTTAGTGTTGCCAAGGTAATTTAGAAATGTATATATTCATCATCGCTGTCAACTCTATTGACTGTTGTAGAGACAGTGGGAAGCTCTCTGTCAACAGTCTGTCTTCTCTTCTTGTCTTCGCGTGTCGGTGGTATTGTTGTTATGGTGACGGCGGTTGACGTTCTGATTTGTACTAGAATCGATTCTTTTGCGGGTTGAGTTCGTATCGTTCGTAGTCTGTTAGGCTCGTTTCTCTTGTAGACTGTTATGTTGTACTACCGATCAGAGTAGTCTGTGATGATGACCAACTCGCAGCTCAGCTTAACTGGCAATATTCTGTATGTTTAATTTAGCTACTTATTTGACTTACTTACGTAAGCTTATACTTTAACTACCTACCTCTGATATTGTTTCTGTCGGGGAACTTCAATTACCTTATGTATGCAACTGCGACGATATTTCATACTATCAATATGCTGTGACCATTTCTGTCCGTCTTAACTACCCACCGATGTTCTGTTTCCTGATCAGTGAAATAGCGCGTCTGTGTTTAAACAAATATGTATACTTTGATATTCTCAGCTGTAAGCAGTTAAAAAGATAATATGGGAATAAAATGAACTCATTTTATCGCCTACAGCCATTACTGTCGTAGTCTGTTTGATGGCTAGCAGTTGTATCCAGGATATACGTTTCATCCTATATGGGACTCATCAGCTGAATATACGTATACCCAACAGACATCAAGCAGTTCAATCCAGTGTGTCAACAGGAAATTAGAAATATCGATAGCTATTATTGTCCTGTTATATGACTATAAGGCTAATTCTTGTGCGTTCCAAGTGCCTAGGTCTTACTATTAAATTGCTGGTTATAACTAGCATTTCGAAAGCTAATCTAATTTTACATGCAGTTTCAATAATTACCCATTATAATATATATTTAGTAAAATGAAATAGTATAAAAGACTCACCTGTCCAATAGGTATCCAAGATCTGTTTGCTGTGTAAAAGGAAACAAGAATAAGTATAAAAAAATACAAATTTTCCTGCGGAAAAAAGCAACACAATTTCAACTTTTTCTATTCACAGTGAAATAAACTAATAAAAATACGCGAATCACTGGGTGAAATGATTGTCTAATCCTGAGTAGCGTAAAGATACAACACTTCACTGGACTACACTCGACTGTTAAGTGTCAGAAAGGCTTGTTATACCTGAGTTTTATGCTTGTTGACATTCAATAGAAAGACTTATCTGTTACCAAGTGGAAACTGATTAGAATTGACATCAGTCAGCGTTGGTTGAGGTGTTGAGTATCAGCAGATTCCAAATAATTGCAGACTCACCTTGTTGGTAAGTCCCCAAAAGAATGAAACCTAGGTCAATCTGAACTTCCTGCCAGTTGACAGCATCAAAATATAATCAGATGATATATTTTTAGCGCATTTATTAGGATTAAGCACTAGGCATTCAGGTCATGTGGGAAGCCAATGAAGGGAAAGTTTTCTTTCTGTATATTGACTGTCGTCATATAGACATAAAGCCTCATAACTAGAATTATCCCAAATAACCTAGTCTTCAGTTTCTTGCTCATCTTTTTTAAATAGAATTTCGGAAAGTTTATGTTGAGAGAAGAAAACCTTCAAAGGTGATTTGTGTGAGAATGTCTGAGATAGATGTGGTTTTCCGCAGACCAGTTCTACTAATAAGTGGTGGTAATTGATGGTGAATAAGAAACCTTGATCCCAACAGGCATTCAACCGCTGGCCTCCGTCTAAAAAATTCAAAGACAATTAAAATATTGACAACATAAGCTAGAATTTAATTTGGTTAATAATTTTATTGTGTCTTGAAGCTGGGGCAATTGAACTTTGGATTGAATATTTTAGTAGCTAATATTTTGAGAACAACAGCAGTATAGGTTAGCTTTCAGTAAATATACAGCCCACCAAGAGGCATTATTCGAAACAACTTCAACAGTCTGCGATGCATTCAAAGAAGAAACCACTACAAATGACTATGTTTACCTAGTTTATTGGTGCAAGCATATGGTTCTTCATATAAAAGGTATCTAAATAATGTCACGCTCAACTTATTTCGAAACTAGATTTCTTCTCTCTTCATCACATCTTTAGGGTACTTTTCAACATGGATGGGTACCATCCGAATACTAGTTGAAAATGATCCTTCGGAAAGTATTGCCCAATATTACCAGGAAACGTTTCAGATTACCATACTTCTGAAATGAAGGAAAAGATATGTTGCTCAGAATGAAGATGACGGTCGTTTGGTATTCTCTGAGTTTTGAAATTTGGTCGTGAACCTTTCATCGATAAACTTAGTGACTTCTACAGCAGTAACTTCATCCTGAGCTAAAAATCTTTCCAGTCATTTCAAAACCTTTTGAGTGCAAAGCGCTTCTTTTTCCTCAGAAATGGATGAACTTAGCAAGTCGGAGAGTGTCTACTAGAGACCAGCTTTTGTTTTTACACGAATGTTTGCTGCAGAACATCTTAGCAAAATGTGCCAGATACAGGCCATCCACCAACTGTCCTACTGGATGAAAGATTGCACAAACCACATCAGTTGATTAAGGGTTATAAGCCCGATAACTGGGTAACTTATTCTATCGAAGATTCTACCTCTTACCTCTACATTACTCAAACGGTGATCCCAACGAAAATCGGAAGTACTGCACAAGGAACTTGGCAATAAATTAACGAACTAGTAGAAGTAGGAAATATGGACAGTTGGATTCCGACCCAGTGGTGCTGGCTACGAAACGTAAGGGTTCTGGGTTCGGTCCCTGGCGGGATCATGGGTGCCCACTGCCAAGGAGTCCCATAATGGGACAAAACAGCTGTCCAGTGTTCCTAGGTTTCCAGTGTCCCCCCAACTAATGTCAGTCCAACCTGAAATTATTTAATCTCCATAAGACTTGAAACTGAAATTTATAATGGTAATAAATTTCTCTAGTTGATTGCATAAACGAACCTAGAGTATTTTGTTTAAATGGCTAAGGGAAGAGATGAGGGTGAACACTTTTTTTAAAAATCCACAGAATCTTCTGCCTATTCAAACAAATTGAAATAGTTTGCTATTTGTCAAAATTAGAAAGATTAAAAACCCAGTCAACAGCCTTGTGCACATTCGTGCGGTAAAGCAATAAGCCACACCTGTTGTGTGATGGCTTGCGATACTACCTAGCCGCCCTGGGGTATTGAAACCCATGACTTCTCAGCTGGAAATCAAGTGCTTTGATCGATGAGCCGTGGCAAATTAAGTAGTGTTTAAGTCTCACTGATATTGATTTTTACATGGTAAATCAATGAACTGATACCTTGTATAGATGAAATATGTAAATATATAGTCTTGTATAGACCTTGTACATCTGTAACTCCAAAAATGAAGGTTGGAGATGTTCGTCAATGAGACGATAATTTCACTCTATCATACCCTTCAAAAAAAGCAGATAAACTGATGAATGCATATGCAAGAGATGAAATTAGACAGTTGGCACCGAGTAAAGAATCAGAAGGAAACCTTTGTTGCCTTATCTTCTGAGCACTTCGCTAAGAACTATGGTACAATTTCATTAACAATATAATCAGTAAAATGTAGCTTCAAAAATGCCAGTTTCTCGGTAGCAAAACTTGTCTGTTGAATATATCATACATATTTATTGTGTTTATATGAAGGTCTAGTGACATAAACCTGTTTTTTTCCACCAAAACCTTACTCTTTACCGATTAGCATATAATACTTTGCATGTAGTTTTAGTCATATGTTGACGTGAGTTACTGAAACATTTGAGAACGTTGGAGTAGTAGACATGTGTTCTGTTCTAGTTTGGGTTTTCGATAGTTCATCAAATGATATCAATCCGTGAAATAAACTAACCTTATCATCAATAAGTTTCCACATAAACTACATGTTTAACCTACTATTTATACGATTTCTATGTAGTTAGTTGGGTTTTACTTTGATTATTGGCTCAGCTCCAAGTTCCAAGCCGGACATTGTAAATACACCTTACTGACAAGTGCCCACAATTATGAAACATAGGTTAACCATAGCTTCTTACCGTCTTCTCCAACTAACTAACTACTGAAGCCCAAACAACTCGAACTTTTTCAGTCGGGAATAGACATCAACCACTGAGAACTTTTTCAAGAATTTAAATTTGGAATAAAATCGCTATTTGGTGTACCCAAGTTTTCTCTGATTGACTGGCTGAAAACCTGGTTGAAATCGATCGTTTCCTTAGAAAAATTGTGAGCGAATATGAATCCAACACTCTCTAGTGACTTGATTCAAGATCAACTTCTTGATGTCCTGATTAGAAAACATCAGCTGTAGGTTTTCAAAATATGAGGTTTGAGGGTATACAGTCAACAGTGGGATTAGACAATAGTTATGCGCCAACAAGGATCGATAGTAGTTGGACTACGTGGCCCACTGGGTTCCCACTCACTGATGCAGTGCCAACGTATCCACCATGAAACCTGGCGGTCTTTGGTTTCAGCCAATACAGTAGTATTTCAACTAAATCTATATATTTTTCTGAAATTCTAGAGTCCCAACAAAGGCATAGAATTCATGATGTCGGCTTATAGTATTCAATCAACAAATGGTACCATCGTCATCGAATTCTTGAAATACCTTAAACCAGAATGTCTGCATACAACCTTATTTTTAACTGAAAGCAGCTCGAAAGGAAGAGCATCCAAGTGACGATATTGTAAAGTTGAACAGGGCATATTTCCCAAAATTCAGTGTTCATAAACTCCATTCATTTACTGAAAGAGACACAGAGAACAGACATAGAACCTAGTGTTTTTTCATACAGAATGAAGCTGTCATTTCCGAAATCAGGACATCATGAAAAAAATTCAGAAAATGAAACGCCAAACAAAACAAAAATAATGGCAGCATTCGTAAAATTATGGGACCGAGGAAAAATTTAGATAAGTACAGTAAGTAAAATATGATTATGCGATGCAGATGATGATAAAGCCAACCGCTTCATTTTGAACTACTAAAGAGTCGCAAAACAGAATAAAACAGCTGACTACAGGTTTCCATTTAATCCCGCAATTAATATCACTGTGTGAACTACTGGGTCCCAACCCAATACCTAAATGGTAACGTGTTCAAGGTTTAGCCTGAGAATTCCAGACTCGGTCTACATGTCATCTTGGATGTTCACTGCCGAGGAGTTTCGAAGTTGGTCGAAACAGCTGTCTGGTACTATCAAGTTCGCAATGGTTCTTCAACAGACATTGTTTCATCATGTAGATCACTTTGAAAAGGATATACCTCGTACCCCGCCATCACCACCACATTAGAACTCCTATTTCTACTTCTTTTTTGTCTGAAACGCTAGACAGCTAACCTACTCTTCCATATACAGCTGAAACCTACGACATGATATCTGAACCTAGTCTGATATTTTATTCAACATTAGAAGAAGACCAACAACAAATCAACAAGAAAAATACTTTTCCCGCGGGAGTGGAATCAACTCGAGTCACTAAAAAACCCGCTCAGTAACAAACCAACGAGAGCAGAATATAGGTGTGTTGAGTTAAATTAATGATATCCACGAGATTGTTGGTGATTTGAGGGTAAACTAGGTAATTTAAACATAACTTTCTTGGCATGGCTTTTATCAGATGGTTGTTATCACTGAAGTCTACTCATGGCTCGATTTCATAAAAACCACTCAGTTTAGTTTGACAACATCAATCCATGGTGCAACAAATGATCCTGATAATCCTAGAAGATGACTGTTTGGGAGTTCAAGGTGATGAGCTCTGAGTTTGAGTCCCACTGAGAACAATAGCAGAAACAGGGATTAAGGTAGAGTCAGTTGAAAAGTCCAAAGTAGGATGAAATGTTCATTTCCTGTGTCACTTCTAATCACCATAAGCACAAGTGTAACAATACTGATCAACATATGCAGATTGAAAATGCTGGTTAATGTGCAGATAGATTTGT